CACATGAACCGGGGTCGACTACGTGGGAGTCCAGCGACATAGCCATTACGCTAACTGCTGGTTCCCAGTCCCCTTCATTCTTTAAACTCCTACTTTCTACAGTATGTTCCCATTCCCAGCCCTAAAGATAACCATTCTCCAATGAACACTAGTTCTTTTTATCTGAAGATGGGTATTTAGAAACCAAGACCTGGATGCTAGGCATTTTTATTGCCCCTAGCATGTCATTCTGTCTAGAGACGTTCAAAGAGGAGCCTGAGTGGCAATCTGCTTTGCTCCCGTGTTGCTTCATTCTGCGGGCTGACACCCCTGAGATTGTTCTCTGTCCAGATAACTTCTATTTGCTCCTCCATCTCTACCTTGCTCTCTGCCCGTGAACCTGAATATATGGACCATAATAGTCAGTTCCTAAGACCTTGGTCACCTGATGACGTCTGGCCAGTGAGGAGCCTCAGCAAGAGAAAAGAAGAAAGAAGAGTGACACCGGAGTGTTATGGTCCTGCCTCTCCCTATGAAGTCTCCCTGAACTGACTGTGCACCTCGACTGAAAGTCTCCACTTTTCCCAGGGCCACTAACTCTACATGGTCTTCCTTTCCCCTGTCCCTGGGGACTCCTCTCTGACTCTTCTTTCAGGTAGTAAGCTCCACGTAATTACGATTCTTTTAAATGTGTACCCTTGTGCATAGTCTTATGGTCAGTACTCTTCTCAAATTACCTAAGAGAAAACAATGCTTAATGTCCTTGGGGACCCTGACTAACATCTTCTGGTATTTCTAAGTTGCTCATACAACTTTCCCAATATATGTATGTTGTCCCAGTGATCCAGGAAAATAAGATTTCAGGGGCCAGAAAGTGGCACAGCAGTCAGGTGTGATGTTCTGCAAGGTTGACCCTCATGGGCAAGTTCTGGGTTTGCATCCAGAGACCTCCCTGAGTATACCTGGCATGTATGTGCCTATTATCCAGGACTGGTTAAAACTGGGGGTGGATCAAGGCAGTAAGACCCATTGGGAGTGGTGTCTTTCTATCTGTCTCACTCATGGAAGAAATAAAGGAGCCTTAAAACAAAACCAACACAAGACGTCTTATAAAGCTGTAACTCTGATAGCAAAGCCTTTTTTCTCCAGGGCGAGGGCTGGCAAACGATTTCTTTCGTAAAGTTGCCAGCTAGTGAATATTTTAGGCTTTGAGAGTTGTACAGTCCTGTCACAGCTACTCCAGCCTGCCACTGTAGTATCAAAACAGTTATGGGCAACAAGACCCTGGCATTTAATAGAAAGTGATCAGATATGGAGGATCTATTGCTGAGTGAAGTAAGCCAAGATATGAAAGAAAGATATTGTATGTATCCACTTAATATATACTGACTATATGCACTCTATGGTAGAGATCAAAATATTGGAGGACATAAAAGCAGTGAAAATTGTGAACGAGGATAAGACAGTGTGGAATGGGAGGGAGAAGAGAAGAGTATAGAGAAAGATAGCAAGAGAATAAATAGAGAGACATGACATTAGTAGGACACAGATATGGCTTATTACCTGTTGATGATGACATGTATAGTATTCTTAACTGGATTGGTCTGAGAAGTATTTCATGTTGGGTAAAGTCTTTTTATAAGTAGAATGAGAAATAGTGATTGTTTAAAAAAATAATTGGAATACTAATAATAATGATAATGATGACTGGGAAAAATAATGAAAAGCTATTGGATAATGAAATGGGGATTTTAATGTCTCTGTTTTGACTGATATGTATGCTATTCTTTCTGGAAAAAGAAATGTAATATGCTGTAAAGTTATATGTGATTCAATGTAATACAAACAAGATTATGATGATAATAAATTTTTAAAAAAGCAGTTATAGGCAAAAACAAATGGGTTTGCTCCAGACATTCAAGGGCCAGCCCTAAAGATAACCATTCTCCAATGAACACTAGTTCTTTTTATCTGAAGATGGGTATTTAGAAACCAAGACCTGGATGCTAGGCATTTTTATTGCCCCTAGCATGTCATTCTGTCTAGAGACGTTCAAAGAGGAGCCTGAGTGGCAATCTGCTTTGCTCCCGTGTTGCTTCATTCTGCGGGCTGACACCCCTGAGATTGTTCTCTGTCCAGATAACTTCTATTTGCTCCTCCATCTCTACCTTGCTCTCTGCCCGTGAACCTGAATATATGGACCATAATAGTCAGTTCCTAAGACCTTGGTCACCTGATGACGTCTGGCCAGTGAGGAGCCTCAGCAAGAGAAAAGAAGAAAGAAGAGTGACACCGGAGTGTTATGGTCCTGCCTCTCCCTATGAAGTCTCCCTGAACTGACTGTGCACCTCGACTGAAAGTCTCCACTTTTCCCAGGGCCACTAACTCTACATGGTCTTCCTTTCCCCTGTCCCTGGGGACTCCTCTCTGACTCTTCTTTCAGGTAGTAAGCTCCACGTAATTACGATTCTTTTAAATGTGTACCCTTGTGCATAGTCTTATGGTCAGTACTCTTCTCAAATTACCTAAGAGAAAACAATGCTTAATGTCCTTGGGGACCCTGACTAACATCTTCTGGTATTTCTAAGTTGCTCATACAACTTTCCCAATATATGTATGTTGTCCCAGTGATCCAGGAAAATAAGATTTCAGGGGCCAGAAAGTGGCACAGCAGTCAGGTGTGATGTTCTGCAAGGTTGACCCTCATGGGCAAGTTCTGGGTTTGCATCCAGAGACCTCCCTGAGTATACCTGGCATGTATGTGCCTATTATCCAGGACTGGTTAAAACTGGGGGTGGATCAAGGCAGTAAGACCCATTGGGAGTGGTGTCTTTCTATCTGTCTCACTCATGGAAGAAATAAAGGAGCCTTAAAACAAAACCAACACAAGACGTCTTATAAAGCTGTAACTCTGATAGCAAAGCCTTTTTTCTCCAGGGCGAGGGCTGGCAAACGATTTCTTTCGTAAAGTTGCCAGCTAGTGAATATTTTAGGCTTTGAGAGTTGTACAGTCCTGTCACAGCTACTCCAGCCTGCCACTGTAGTATCAAAA